TCCCACCTGGCCTATGCTGTCATTGCTTGTAGAATTAATTAATTAATTGTTGCTGTCTCGTCCAGTTTTAATTCTAAGTGAAGGTGAACAGCTTTAGTTCTCCAGTACAAAATTTTTTTACCGCTTCATAAGAATATTCTAATAATCCTACAACTCATCAAAGAACTCTTCCGCACCCCATCAAGCATAATATATACTATCAACTTAGGAATAGCAGTAGTTTTTCACTCTAAAAAAGTTACCACTACATATTCACGAGGAAGACTGATTCCCAGTTTCGGGCTTGCAAGTTGCTGCTCTTTGTACAAGTATAAGAAGAAAGATAATCAATCCCCCGCTTAGATTTGTTTTTGGTGCTAAGTTTTTTAAAGATTTAGGCTAATTTTTCTATATATTGGTAAAAAAAAAAGTCGGACAATTATACAGTAAAATGATTTTTTTTTCAATATAACAACTGGCTACCAGCCTTATGGTAAAAAAAAAAATTTTTTTTTAAAGTAAAAGTCTGCGGTGCTGACCATGGCATGTATACAGAAGTGGAGAGAAAGTGTAATGGATTAAGACTCCTAGTACTAGACTAGTGTTTTATTATTTGGACGAATTTATTTGGTAATGACACACTTATTTCCAACTATCCCGTTTGGCAAGTGAATTTTTTTGGTGTTTATTTAAAACTTTACTGTAGATGTTGTATAAAAAAATTTTGATGTGTGTAAATTTTTTGATATTTTAAAATACATGGTTTAAAATTTTTGAAATTTTTTTTGAGATTATTGTAGTTAAAGTTGTTAAAAAATTGTAGCAGATAAATTTGGCCAAAAGCTTGCTCGCCAAACAAGACCTGTATACACAAACTCTGGAGCACTCCATTGTATTTTATCCACCTTTTATTCTTTGTCAAACACCAATTATAGACTTGTGCAATTACAAATGTGGTTGCAGAGATCAATTGACGGTCTCGAGTCAATTGGACTATTTTTAAATTATTTTAAAAAATAAACTGTTTTTTTTTCTCTCAAAGAATTGATTGTCTAAATTTGGATTACATCATCTCAGATCAATATGAGCTGTCAATGTATGCCCATTGCCAAGTCCGATTAGGGGGCACCCATTGTCAGAAGGGTAGAAATGGAAAATATATCAAAACTAAGATCATTTGCCGAGTTGATACTAACTCATGTAAGGAGACATTAGAGCATCTCCAACACAAGTGTAATGTCTGACATTACACCGGGTTGTGGCCGTGTAATACCCATTACATGCATCATGCTGATGATGCGTATGATAGCTGGCCTCCACTACAAAATTTAAGAGCTTGACTCTAAATTTGGCCAGCAACATTCATTTTTCGTTTGGCCAGCAACGTTCATTTTGTTATTAGTTGCATTTTATTTGATTTAAATTATGTAATATTATGTAATATTATGTTATGGAGTTCAACTAATTACATTCTGAATTATTAATTAAGTATGGATTATTATGATATCTTCGCATTTGAGGTATCAAATATTTTTTAAATTTTTTGCATAATTATTTTTGAAAAAATAACAATATATTATTTTTGAGAGATAGAAAAAGATATATTATTCAAACTTAAAAATTAATAATATCATTTTTAGAAAATAAAAAATTCAAAAGGTAAAAAATTTAATGAAAGTTAGTACTTTATTTTTTAAAAATAACAAAATTATTTTTAAAAATTATTTTATTTATTTATGAGATATGCGTTATGTATTATTAAAATAAATATTTAATTTAATTGTGAACCCATGCTATTGCACCTTGTGGAGTGTAATCCATTGTCAGTGAAAGTGTAATAAAAGAGAAAAAAGTGAAATATTGACGTAACATGTGGATTACATTCTTTAAAGTAAAGAGTGTAAATAATTGTGAATGCCCTTAGAAGGACTGGCTACCATGAGTTGAGCACGTACCCAACCCCCTCCATTTCTTGAGGATCATTTATGCTTTTCACCTAAAATTTTGGCAGGCAATAAATGAAATGCAAATTCCCGTGGCTTCAGTCTGAACACGTGTTTAATTATTATTATGCAATTTTGGTGGCATCACATCTATATATTACCTTGAATTCAAACATGGCATCGTGGTATATTCTCACTTTTCTCGTGCAAAATGGAGCAGGAGACGTCTCGCTCTCACTTGAGTTTGGTAATCTGGTAGCCGACTCGATGCAGAGAAAAGACTAACAAATAAGATATTCATCGGAAAATGAAATATGATAACTAAAGCTCAACTTCTTATAATGAAACTTTGGGATATTTTGAGCTTTGCCTCATAGGACGGTTGTTTTTACTTGCATGCAATTTGGATTGAAAACGAGAAATAGAGGAGTTGTTGTTAATAGACCAACACCCATATTTATTAAATTCGGCTCGAAACTCAACTTAAAGAGGTAATCGGATCACTGGATTATCGGTTTAATTGTGGATTGAACGGTTCAATCGCGAAATGCACAATAGTTATATTACATAATATAATAATATATTTTAAATTATAAAAATAGTAACATTTTTAAGTTAATGATTCAACCAACGATTCAATTTTTTAGATTCATTGATTGAACTGTCAAATCGTTGATTTTTTTTTGTCAAATGGTCAAATCATTGATTGGTCAACAAATTTGTTGTTTAACTGGTTTAATTAGTAACCCAACTCTGTCCTATAGTCGATGCACTGAGTTGATCAATTCGGTTGCTGGTTGGGCCGAGTTTTATAACTATGCCAACACCTCTTTGCAGACCTTCTTTTTTTTTTTTTTTTGTGAACTCATCAATTTCAATTTGGGAGTCTTGTTGCATGGTTTTGCCCTGTTGTCCAACTCTAGTGGACTTTTGCTAAGGCCTGGCTGAGAGAGGAAGTTTGAATTTCCTCTCCTCTCTTTGTGTTCCTCATTCCAGTTGGTCACCTTGTAAACAAATATTTTGCGTAGTTTAGGCTGGCATCATAGTGAAGTGTTTGCCGTTTGAGAAGATCAAAAGAAAAAAAGGATTGCATCACATTGTGTGGCGTCTAAGCAATTACAAGCATTGAGTTTATTATTATTATTTTTTATAGTTTTTACACGTTACGAAATGAACTTAAATGAGTTTCTGAAGTAATCAATGAACTACCAACCGATCAACCAAGATCGAGGATAAGATGATTAATATTGCAACACAAACACAAACGTGCAAAATTTACATCCATACACGTAAATATTGCTATGAAATGGATGTGTTTGGGGGATGAGATCCTCTCCATTATTTTTCTCTCCATTTATCTATTCATTTTTTAATTTAAATAACTAAAATTTTTCACAGTAATCTATTTGTGCCAATAATTTTAGATCCACAAGTAGATTGACATACTCAAAAATTAAGCTCATTTATGAATGTTTGGTCATTCAATTTGCACAAAACATTTTGACGTTGCAAATTAGGTCAGAGTTATGATCAAAGTTGTAGAGTTTGATCCAACGGTAAAACTTTAATGATTTAATTTTAATTTTTGTATATACTTTAAACAATTGAAGAAATATGATATGGATAGCTTTAATTTTCAAAAATAATATTATAATTATGTTTATTTAGGCGTAATGGCAAGAAGATCCTCTCCAACAACTAATGGAGAAGAGCCTAATCCATATTTGCGCACCGATATTTTTTAAAATATCATTTTACTTACATTATAAACACGTTTACTAATCAATCATCTTTTTATATCATATACATTACATCACATTATAAAAATGTTTCGTAATAATGATTTCAAATAACCTCCTATCCAAACACGAACAAACTCATACATGCATACATGCAAGCTTCTGGCCCATATGCAGTGTTGTATACAATAGTGTACACACATTTTTTTTTTTTTTGGGGTAAGAAAAGGATTTAAAAAACGAGGGGTACAACAAGAAGTTTTTTCAGAGGTACTTATCTCGATTAGACTATATACTTTACCTAAGAATCGCAGTCTAATATGTACTGGAACTGTTGAATTGCTCAGTATTAGCCTGTTGGACCACCACAAGATCCATCACCAAATTTTGGCACTTGGGGTCATGGTCCACATTGGATCGCATATTAAAGACACTTTGGACATCCAACCTGGGGAAACACTGGAAATGAGCCTAGTCGCTATGCCTATGAAACTAGAGGACAAAGATACCGGGTCTGTATTCCTAATTCCCTAGACTTAACCTTCATGCTCTACATCACAGAGCAGAGCAATTAATGGTCTGTGCAGCAGCAATTCGTTAACCACCGCCAAAGAGGACAAGGGCTTTTTTTTTTTTCCTTTTCGTTTTGAGAAGAGGACAAGAATTAATTATGTCGATCTAAATAAAACGAACATGACTGGGTTTTATAAAAGAAATAATATGTAATGTGTGTAAAATAAAAAAATTATTGAAAAATGCGTTCCACAAGAAACGTACAAATTTTTTTTCGAAAAACTTCCCATCATTCATTGGGCATTTCTGCTTTTATGGAGAGATCATCTTACTATCATCGAACTGCAGTCTTGATTAACTAGAAAGGAGAAGAGCGAGAACAAGGAAATCCATGCAATACTCAGCCAAAAATGGTGCTAATTGATTCTCTCCTCGCCTCCCTCTTCTGAAATAATTATTGGGGTTAAAAATAAAAAAATCCCTTGTAGTATACCTAATACACAGAAAAATCTCCCGTGATTTCAAAACATACAAAATGATACCTCATGTTTTAAACTAAATTGTAAACCAACAGAATTCGTTAAACTTAACGAAATCCGATAAACTTAACAAAATTCGATAAATTTAACGATAAATTTAACGAAATTCGATAAGTTTAACAGCCAAAACCATCATTTTCGTTAAATTTAACGAATTCTGTTAGTTTACAATTTAGTTCAAAAATGAGGTATCATTTTGTGTGTTTTGAAACCACGAGAGCTTTTCAGTGTATTAGATATACCGGGAGACTTTTTGTTATTAACCCTAATTATTGCAATGATCAAGAATTAGAAGTGCACATAAGCAGTACTGGACTTACTAGGAATGTATAGTTCACAAGACAAATATACCATCATACATCCAACAAGCAGACATCTTTATATTCCAACACATACTTTGAAGGGCAGATAACCAGCAAGCTAGTTTTTCTGTATGGGAGCTCAAGGAGATGGAGGCCATCCATAAACAGAGGCTTCATCATATCCTCCATAAAACCGCAGTTCTAGGCTTTCTTCATCATCCCACATCCCATCTGAACTCTCATAATCATCATATAATGAATCTGAGTAGTCTGAGCAATCTTCCCAAGCATTTTTCTCATACTGGTCCACCACATGAGGCCCCAAAACGTTCAGCTTCGGGAACTTGTCTTTGAGATACTTCTCATCAAATTTCACATCCCAACATCCTCTCAAGTCCAGAAATTCAAGCTCGCGGCAGCTAGTGATTATCTCTAGAACACCTATCGTATCGACAACGTGATATGCTATTTCAAGATGCTTGAGCTTTGGCATAGTGGTTGCAATGGCAGAAGCCTCATTGTTCTGCAAAAGCTTACCCTCGACATCCAGTGGATGCATGTTTCGGCGCAGTCTTTCGAGAAATTTGCAGTTCTTTCCAATAGCCTCCAAAGCGCGCGGACCAATTTTACTGCAGTAGCTCACATCCAAGAAAGTTAGAATAGAAAGTCTCCCAGCAATCTTTTCCATTGTTGAATCACACATTTCGCTTCTGGGAAGTCTCAAGGTCTGCAGAGAACGAGCGCTAGCAAAACCAAAAATACATTGTCTGAATCAAATCTCTGCAAGGATAACATGTCAGTCTACTTAAGATGTTCGTAATCTTACACAAGGGCAATTCGGTTAAGTCAATCAATGATATTTTAGATCAAAATACCCTTGCTATAGAGAGGACCAATCTAAAGGGTTTCTATCTGAAAACAAAAAAAAAATTTAGTCAAAAATTGGAATAGAGAGGAACAATCACTTATCAAGTATGAAGTCATCTAATCCCTCTTTAGATGATCCATGTCCCGAGACAACCTAAAACGCATGCTAGTTCCTAATAACAACATAATCCATATTGAACAGACAATTCCACAGAAAATCTGCTTATGCACGCATGATATTGGCGATGATAGAAAATTTAATGAATTGCTGCACTTCTTACTGTTCAGCAATGAAATCAAAGATATTCTCGTTCTGTAGTCCACAGACACACAGCTTTCGCAGAGAACCGGAGCTCCTTGTAATCAACATTCGTAGCATTCGATCAACATCACCCGACTCAGATCGATTGCTCCACTCCTCAATGTCTATCTCTTGCCAGCAGTAAGGGCCCATCACTGCTTTGCTCCATGGTTTACATACTCTAGGTATCACAGTTAATTTCTCCTGGAGAGAGAGGTTGTGGAAGATTAGGCCAAGTGCATCTGGTAGAAGATCTTCCCAGTGCCGAGAATCAGTTCCTTCCATCGGAGTACTCTTCACAAAACAAATAGATTTCTTAATTACAGGTTTAACTCTTCTACATCACCACCGTGAATTTCAGAAATTCTGCTCAAGAACCTGAAGAGAAGATCTTATTTCCATATGCATGTTGGCACAGTAAATTGAAAAGAATGTGACATGCAATAGAATCTAGATTAAGTACAAGATCTCAACCGCTGTGAATAGTTCTTTGAGAAGATAAAAGACATTTTGGCATCCATAAGCCGTCACATAGTAGGAAAGAATTATTTAACAGGAAACAGGGCTTCAAGCAGAGGTTTATTTAAATTTTTATTTTTAATCCCCAAATAAGAAACCAAGAACACTACTGTTTTCAAATTAACATTCCCTTAAATTCCCTTTGTTGAGCATAAACCTACACTAAAGGAGAAAAAAAAAAAGGCAAGAACAGGTCTTTTTTCACTTCAAAGTAGCAATCTTGATTCTCAGAAATGCCAGTAACAGAATCAGTTTCTTCTTCAATTCCACATGCGAGAGTAAGAGAGAAATTTGTGAAGAAACATTAATCAAATTCAAAGACATAAGACCCCCAAAATACTAAGTGAAAGATAATCAACTATAATGGGGTTCCCCCCACAACAACATCACCTTCTCATTTATCCAGTCGTTTATTTTGAAAGGGAAATGGACACATTTTGGCAGCCAGTTATATGGACTCCAAATGCTACCAACACTCAAATGCTAAGCATTCAGACATAATCTTATAAGGGTTCCTAGCAATATACATAAAAATGTCATTTGAGTTACCAGGATCCAAAAGAAGCACCAAACCTCTGCAAAACCTCAGACAGAAAAATCCCACAAAAGAGGCACCGATTTATCCGGCAGGAAAAAAGGGGGTAAAGGAAAAAGTAGGCATCAGAGGTTAAGAAGAAAAGAAAAGAATGCACCAATAAAAAAGAGAAAGCAAGAAATAACTAGGCCTACCTACCAGCTCAGAGAGGTAATGCACCCACCATCTGCAACGAAAAAGATAGAAAAGAAAGCAAAGATTCAAGAATAACAAGTAAAGACAAGACTAAAAGCCACAAATCTACTCTACTACAGTCCACAATGTGTGATTATTTGTATTGTATATTGCATCTCTTCTGTATACTATGATGTACTAGTGCAGTAGGAACATGTGTCTGGCAGTGAAAATAACTTTAAGCAATATGACAATAGTAGGACATGTGGACGGTGGTTTCATTGTAATTAGGAAAAGTTTGGCTTACCAAGAGAGCCAACAGCCAACAGTTATTGATGGTCAAATCACAAAAGTTGAGTTCTTTTTTCTTGAAAAGCATTTAACCGCATTGATTTCACTATTTTGATGAGGTTCAGGTGAAGATATTTTACTTGTATACCTAGTTTATAAATTATTCGTCTCGAAAAAATGAACAAATTGTGGTAGTAGTACAATTATCTTTTCTTTTCTGGGGTCATTCTTGTCGGTGGTGATGGATGTCAAATTACCAAAATTAAAATTCTTACTCTAAAAACAAATGCTTGTGCAGCGGTGAGTAAGATTGTCTCCGTAAAAATTGAATAATTTATTTCCTTTCAAGCAAGAATTAAGTGGGAGTTTTGGAAAATTAAAATAAATAATCAATGTAAATAAAAACAGTCAAACGGAAGAGAATTAAAATTAAATCAATAATAAGCAAACTTTAGCCAAGGAGGAAATTTTAAAAGTAGTTCACACAACTGTTCATTGGTTAAATAATTATTTCATCTATTTATTAACAAATAGGTTATAATTGTCAAACAAGCAATGAAAATCAGTTTTTACTTACTATATCCATGTGTATCCATAGTTAAAATGCATCCGTTAATTACTTCTCTAACCAAGAAATAATTCTAAGTATGTTCGTAGAATTTAATTTTTTGATTGCGTTAAAAAACTAGAAAAATTCTGTTCTAATCAATAAGCACACTACCAGAGTTTGTTTAAATTAGATTATATATTTTCCTAACATGAATCCAATTACACTAACCGCCGCTAATATCAACTATCAAACAATTATGAATTTAATTGATTCCTTTTGCAACAAAAAAAAAATGAACCCAATCATGCTAATCACCACTAATATCAACTAATCAAATAATTAGGGATTTAATTGATTAATATGACAGTAGATTATTAGATTAATTCAAATATCGGGTCCGTGATAATGAAATAACAAAATAATCATAAGAAGCTAAATCAGAAAACATATGAATATTAACTAATAACAAAATAATCATAACAAATTCAAATATCGGGTCCATGATATTGAAATAAAAAAATAATCATAAAAAATTAAATCAAAAAATGTACGAATATTAACGAATAAAAAAACAAATAAAAACAATTCGATCTCAGAGTTACTCATCATTAGAATAAGAAATTAGTTGCTCATCATTGAGTTATCCCTTAATTAGAATAAAAAATTAGTTGTTATCGTTGAGAATAACTCAGACAATTTCGTTGATGAAAGTCGCATGAAAGTCCGATGACAAGAAAGAAAAGAAAAAGCGAAGAGAAAAAGCTCGTCATTTTTTTGTTGGAGACCAATCAATCCATCTCCACAAACAAAGACGGATTCTTAAAGCCAACGACAAAAGCCCCTTTTCCGCACATCTCTTACTTTCCTAACCTACCAGCGCTTCCTAATTTACCTTAATAAAGGAGATTCCCTCCGATGCCAACAGATAAGCCAAGTTTGTTTCTTATTACAAATTGAAAACAAGGAAAATCAGTCATCTTAGGTAAGGAAACAAGCTCCTAAGGTAGGGTTGGATTTAGGTGCGACCACGGCAAATTGATTCAGAGTCTTTTGAAAAATTATCTCTTTTAATCACTTTTTGTTTCACTTTTCTATAATTAATATACGTAATCAAATATGAGTAAAATCTATTAATTAATACAATATTTGACCAAAATTATAAGATAATATTCGCAAATTTGTTAACTAATATGCACCCTATCCTATCACTGGGATAAGATTAAAATGTTCCCGTTACATTTGATTTTATCTATCGCAAATGACTTCAGCTGCTTGCACAATTGGGAATTGGCTTATTGACGGTGAAAAATGAAGGGTCACCTGTTTAGAAAAAAAAAAGATATATATATATATATATATATATATATATATATATATATATGCATAATTATATATGTGCATAATTATATATATGTGAAAAATGAAGGGCCACCTGTTTAGAAAAAAAAAAGATATATATATATATATGTGCATAATTATATATATAATGATAATTATTAATTATACTACTAGTTATACATGTCTATTAATAAAAATTATTAATTATTTATACTAAATTTATTAATATATTTATATTAAATTCCTAACTACACTTAATATAATAACACTTTTTTCTAAAAAAATACAATAATAATTTAGTGATTGTATTTGTATCAAAAGTAAAAACTTGATTATTTTAATTATATTTGTTTTATAATATTATATTATATTCAAATAACTTTTATTTAATTATTTTTATAAATTTTAATTGTGAAATTACAATGAATAATAATTTGGTGATATATTTTACTCCTTGATTATTTGTTCAAATTTAATTATAATAAAATTATATAATAAAATTTTTTTAATCCCACAAGAAAAACGGGACGGAGCGGGGCAAGCGGAAGGCGGGGGACGGGCTGGGGCTGGGGATGGGGGGATCCCCGCCCCACCGCTACAACTAGTTGCTGTTCTTGGGAATCATCAATTGCATTGACTGTAATGACTTTCTGTCGTCTAGGTGCAAATATTTTTTACAGACATCTTAATTTTAGTCCTCTCCAAAAGTAATTCGGCGACCTTCCGTTTCTGGCTGTCTTGTTGGAGACGATCAAATAGTACCAGAGTTGGTTTAAACTCTGGAACATGTGCAGAGGGTAATTAATTACACGCCTTTTCTTTTCCCCCTTTTTGTTTCGAGGGATTTGATGATTATTCTTGCTTCAGCTTGCGGCTAAACTGGGATTAAAGCTGTAAACTCATGTTTAGGAGAAACAGTTACAAAATCTTGTGTTTGTTTTTTTGGAGTTGCAGGCAATTTTGTGCTTATTGGAGCCTTGATTAGCCCTGTTGAACCATCATTTGGGGCCTCGACAAATTCTGGCAGGACTAAAAATAACCTGGTGAAGCTAAAAACAATAATGATAAGGGCAAATTATCCAATTGGCCCTTTAACTCTTTGTCTAGGTAAAATTAAGCCCCTCATCTATTTTTTGCTGACTTTAAGCCCTCGAACTTGTAAAATGGGAAATCCGTGGCCCTTTTAGCCAGTTTCTCCGGTTTTGCAACCGGATGACCAATTCACACGAACGCCATGTGCTTCTTTCAAGGGCATTTTTGTCCTCATATTCTAAGCAAAAAAGGCACACATAATCCACCGAAGGAAGCTGGAAAAGTGCTCATTTTTAGTCAAAAGAGAGAGAAAATAAAAGGGGAAATTGCTGATCACCTACCCCCTTGCCCCATGCCGTAGAATATCAAACAAAAGAAAACGCAAAAAGATGGGAATTTTTAGATAAAAAATAATTTTCGAAAAAAAGGTGTTTCCTTTCTCACTTTTATTCCTCCTACTCTCCCCACCCCGCTGAAACAGAATGGCTGAGACGACGTTGCTTCAACTACTCAGACTCCACCAGGACGATGACGGCCTAGACGACGTCATTGAAGAAGTAGATTTTTCTCATCATCAAACCCATCCCCACCGCCATCATCTCGATCCCTACTGGTCTTCCGATTTCGATGCTATTGGTTGATCCCCCAGCGACATCGTGTCGGAGCCCGAATCGGTTGTCACCAGCGCTGATCTTTTCGACCGCGAGAATCAGGTGAATTTCGTTATGGACCTCTTGCACCAACGAGTTGAGCAGTCCCAATTATCCTCCACAACCTGTGTGGTGATTGACCCGGAGATTTCCGATGCTGACCCGAATTTCGGGATTCATGAAGGAAACGACGGAATGGAGCCGACCCATTTGGATCTTGATCTGAATCTAGGGTTTCTCGGAGAGCCCACTTCGACAAATGTGGAAAATTCAGGGTTCGTAGCTGAAAATTTTGAGGGTGGGGACCATTTTGTAACCGGGTTGCGAGTCGTGGATATCGGGTCGGAATCGGATTTTGATATAAAACCATGACGTTGAGATTGATTTTAGTGCTGACGATGATGATATAAGTAAGGGTGATGATGATCCAAGCCTTAGGCTCTGTTGGGATTCTTTTCAGATTGAGGATCATAGAGAAGTTAATGAGGATTTTGAGTGGGAGGAAGTGGATGAAGGAGTTGATGAGAGAGAGGTTCTGAGCATGTTTCTGGATGATGATGACATGCCGGTGATGGCCCGGGAGGAGAGTGCAGATGTATCTAGGAATTTGGACTGGGAGGTTTTGTTAGATGTGCAGAATTTGGAAGCAATCCCCGAGAATGTGACAGAGACGGCCATGGGATTGCGTGGGGGTTGCGCAGGGAAGAGTAAGGGAGGTGAGGGAAATCAAATAGAAAGGTGGACTATGTGTGCCCTTTTTGCTTAGAATATGAGAACAAAAATGTCCTCGAAAGAAGCACATGGCGTTCGTGTGAATTGGTCATCCGGTTGCAAAACCGGAGAAACTGGCTAAAAGGGCCATGGATTTTCCATTTTACAAGTTCGAGGGCTTAAAGTCAGCAAAAAATAGATGAGGGGCTTAATTTTACCTAGACAAAGAGTTAAAGGGCCAATTGGATAATTTGCCCTAATTATAATGGTCACGGTTTTCCTTTCTTCCGTAACATCCTAGTATGAATAGGCGTGTACTATTGTCAACAATTTGGGCAACAAAGGACAGGCCAGTGACAAGGAAAGTATGAGGTCATTGAGAAAAAGGTGAGATCAATAATTCTACGACAGCCTCTAAAGTCAAGATATTTGGCCTTGTAGCATATCAATTTGTGGGTCCATTTTTGAAATTCTCCACCACCAGCAACAACTAGGTTAAACTTTAAAGATGATCAGGTGATATCTGAATTTTAATACAATTATTCAGTAGTATTTTACTTTATAGGTAATATACAGTAGTATATTTTTATATAATTTTATTATGCTTATGAATGTTTATTTATGCATTTGTAAACATATATGAATTTAACCTGTCCCAATTTTTCGTTTGGCAAGTGAGTTTTTTGAGTGTTTATCTAAAATTTTACTGTAGTTTACTGTAGAAGTTTTAAAAAAAAGTTTTGAAGTATGTAAATTTTTGAATATTTTGAAATGCATAGTTTAAAAACTTTGAGAAATTTTTTGAAGTTACTGTAGTTAAAGTTTTTAAAAACTTGTAGCAGACAAACTTGATAAAAAAACTTACCTGCCAAACAAGGCCCAGCTTAATGTTGGTCTCTACTTGTATGTCTAATTGTCCATCCAGCCCTGTATTCCTTTGTCTATCAACGGGCTTTCATCCATTTCTTTTCAACTCGCTAGTGAAAACATTTCTTTATCACTTCTCCATTTTTTAGGCCATTTTGTTGTTAGTTTATTATTATTATTACGGTTTATCTAACTGGTGGCACTCGTTAAAATGTATTTCAGGTGATATATTTTTAAAAATAAAAAATAATTAAAATAAATAAATAAATACAACGGAAGGTAAGCAAGATTAAATAGAAAAAGTACATAAATACAAGAGAGAATAATAATTGTTAGTATATATGTATATATATATATATATATGAGGTAGGTTAGGTGAATACTAAATATATTAATGAGCTCATTGCAAAAATCTTTATTATTATCATACTACTGTAAGTAGGTATGTAATCAAGCCGAGTCGAACTCGAGTATTGCTATACTCGAGCTCGACTCGACCTATAAATAACTTGGCTCGAACTCGATAGAGTCGAAAAATCTTAAACTCGAGCTTGATTTGAGAAAATTTTTAAAAGCTCGAGACTCGACTCAATAAGGCTCGACCTTTAGTCAAGCTTTATCGAGTCAGTAATCAAGCTTTTTGACTCGATACCTTACTTGTAAATTCAGTATAAATTTTGCCCATAACGGTCATTTTATAATTATAATACATATATATTATTTAAATTCTGACTCGAACTCGACTCGAATGTGTACTCGAGTAGCTCAAAACTCGGCTCGAATTCGGTTTGACCGACCAAGCCATTAACCATGCTACTCGTGAGTAGGTCAGCTCGCTTACATCCTAACTGTAAGGTCGCAGACCATCTAAAAGTTTCATCCGACCGATTAAACTTCTAAAAATGCTGATACAAATTTCATGTGACGTGCTTTCCTATTTTGCAAGCAGATTTACATCTTTTCCCATAAAAACCCCTCTCACCAGTTGATTAACTCTTCCTTCAACCTAAATATGAAACGAGATTATTTGTCCCCAAGGTTTTCACAAGGTTCAGAGAAATTTACGTATTTTACCAGAGTTTCTTCATCGATTATATTTGGGAAGAAGTTAGTGATTATATTCGGAGAGAAGCCTTAGGAAACTCCAGAAACTTTGGAAGCAAATAATCCCACTTTGATGGAAGAGATAAATGATTTGTGTGAGAGGTTTTAGACAAAATGGCCCGGTTAAACCATTTTTAGAAATTCAGTGAGTTGGACAACACAGAGAAAAATATAGTGGCCTAGTTGGAACATTTTTAAAGTTCAGCACAGATTTTCTTCTTCCATTAGCCATAAATACACAGCTTTCTTTTGGAAATGCATATAGGTCTAAACTAGCATCTGTTACTTCTTCATTCTCAAATTTGATGCTACTTTCTCAGTTGGTTGCTTCCTAATTTTGAGGACTTGTCTTTTGCTTCAAAGTGAAAGCATCCTCTTCCGGCTGGTTCTTCTTCTATCTTTAGCCGGTGCTTTTGGCAACCTAATATTACATACGTGAGTTTATTCATAAAAATGGAGATATCTGTTGGTAGGAGGTAATAAGAAGTTATCGTATTCAATTTTAAGGAAAGAAGAAGATAATAAGGGAGAAATGGAATATTTGAAACTTAGATGAAAAAGGCAAGAACAAAATAACGAATAGGAGTTGCAATCCTCTGGTACGTGCAAGGTGCAAAACAGAGAATTTTCGCAACTGCAAAAAAGAGTTCGGTTTTGGCTACTTCCATGACGTCGTGGACGGGTCTAAATAAATGGCTTTCCATTTTGCATATTTTTTTTGGGGCCCAATTAAAACACTCCAATTTTGCACAAAAAAAAAAAAATTAATACTACAGTAAAATCTCTATAAATTAATAATTGTAGAATCATACAAATTCTATTAATTTAAGGAGGTATTAATTAATCGATAAATTAATAATTTATTAATTTATCGAATATACTTACAATTAAAAAAAATGCTCATTTAATCAACTAAAATTTCATTTTATTTTTTATATAAAAAATGTGAATTATTTTATTAATAAAACGAGGCTAAAAGTTTAAAGAATATAAACTAATCCATATGCACTTGATTTGCAATAACTCTTCATAAGTTCCTATTACAATATGAGAATTCAAGCCCAAAATTTTTAGATGCAATAAGAAAAATTAGAGAGGCAGATTTAAATTTTAAGAGAAAAAGAATAGACTCATATATTTTAGAAAATATGGTATGTAATTTTAGTGAATAATTAATTTGTGACATGAATTGGATCAAAGGATTACATAAGATTTTCAAAAAAATTATTATCTTATTATTTTATCAAAATTATTTTTAACTTGTTAGCTCAAATCAGGATAAAAAAAAATTATTATTCAATAGATGCTATTAATTTATCGAGTATTAATTTATAGAAATTTTACTACATCTTGATGACCTATGGAATTAAAAAAAAAAAGAAGAAGAAAGAACATGAACAACTTTTTTAAAATTGTATCTTCTTTTTTTTCTTTTTTTTTAAGAACAACTTGTAATGCTTGAAAGTTACAAGTGAAATTTTACAACATCGGACAGGATCAAAATACACAATGCATTGTCTGAGATCTAGTCAGATAAACGAAAATGAAAATCAACGGAAACATAAATTAATCAAACAGGTCTTCACGACTTCTGCAAGGAGTTTTACAAAGTACAAATTCTCTCAATTATAATCATTAATTTAAGTATTTCTTCCTTTTTAAATAACCCTATAGGAACACATTCAACTCAAAAATCAACAGCAGCAGGAAAATTATAAAAATTGAAATTGCTTGAGGTCAGTATATAATATATATATTATAGTATTTTATTTTGCTCAGGAGGTTTCGTCTCACGCGAGTGGCTTGCACGTCGACGTTTTGGGATCCCACATGGCTGGCAGCAGATATTCACGGCCATTCGCCCCGCGAGCATTGTAGCTCGCCCCGGTGGTCTTATCAACCAAAACCGTACCCGGAAATCCCGGATAGGCGCCCGATCCAAATATTCCAGTACAAGCAGAAACGGCCTCTAACGGCGCGGTGGGAGGGCCCTGAAAGTAACCCCCATCAAACGGATTCGTAACAGCCCCAGCCAAAACCGTTGCCAGATTAATCACCAATCCGTCAATCCCAACGTCTCCGTTAGGTGCCACTAACGGCGGCGTTTGCGGCCCGACGATTGGCCGGTGGAAAGGCCAAGCACACTCGCCGGGGCACTGACTGACGGCGTTACCCACCCAGGCATAGGCATACTTTTGCGCCTTCCTCCCACGGGTCCACCCGTGGGTCCCACACGAGTTCATGCAGAAGTCTTCAACTGCCACGTCGGACGCCGTCAGGACCAGGTTAACGGTATTGACGTGACTAAATTTGGAGGTCAAGGCTTGAATTTGCGAATCTTTCAGCTCCTTTCCAAGAGGGTAATTCAATGAAACCTGTTTCCCGACGGCGATGGTGGATGGACTTCCAAGGTACTTCTGGGTGGTGCTCCACCATGAAGCCACCGTCTGTGGCGGGGGGCCGCGGCGGCCTGTGGGGCTGAGGGATTTTAGAAAATCGACAACTATAGCACGTTGGCTAGGGGTGAACTTGCCGTACCACAAGAGATTCACTGTCGTATTGCCTTTCAAGAGCTCACCTTTGTGGTACTTGAGCACAATTGGTTCTGGCTTAACCAAAGCCAGTTTTCTTGGAATCGCCGAGAAGGAACCTGGCAATATTGCTAAGAGCACAAACAAAGAAAAAGTAATGGTAACGAAACGAACGTTAGCAACCATTTTTGGTTGTCTGAAATTTGAACACCGAAAGTTCTCAAGAAAGGTTGGTTTTTTGTTTTTTTATTTCCTTTCTACTGTACAATTTTTGATAGAACTTAAGGAATTTGCAGGCTGCAAATCGTAGGATGTTGGTTTGGTTGGAAAATGTACATGCACGTATATATAGGCCATTTTTTTGGGGGTGTTGTGAACTTGTTAAAAGTTAGTGATTGCCATGTCCCATAGAGTTGGAAAGGAATACGCGTTAGGAGTTAAGGTTTTGGAGTTGACTTCATAAGGCCATTAAAAGCGTTGTTGGTGGTTTTAGAATGGTATGGTTAGGAAGGTTATGTAATGGGATTACATAATTGTATAGCTAGAGGGAGGTCTTTTTCAGGGAACGTATCGAATAAGTTGTTTTACTTGCTTTTATTTTTTCTGCCAATTGGGGAGCTATTCTAATGATTCCTAATCTTGATAAGATTGTGGTTAGCATCGTTGTAATCATTGTTGTTAGATTTAATACATTTCTTTCGTTTTCGCAATGTGAACCTTGATGCTTTATTGGTTGCATGCAGTCGCAATTTGCTAGAGAGGGAAGCAGCTAAGAGACAGCAGGGGCTGCGAAAGCTCTTGCAGCGGATAAGAATTGATGCGATTATGATATCCACCCAAATTACTCTAATTGTTTTAGGTTATTTAAAAAGCATTTGAAATATATTTTAAACACCTTGTTATAATAATTTGTGATTCATAAAATTCAAATACCTCTTAAATAATCTAAACAATAAGAAGGGTTCGAGAGAATTTCAAATATTTTGTCAAATCGTTCAATCCAAACGCAACCTGTGATATAGTTCATTAACTTCCACGAAACACTGGATTAGTTTAAGAATGCTGTGTGGTCCTGCTCTCTAATTAATGTCGCATTAAATCTTAACTTTATGTTTCTGATGTGAAGGAATTTATTGGACTTTTAACAAGTCAGTTATGCTTACATTTCTTTCTTCGTTTATCAGCAATCAAAGGAAGAAAGCCAAGCGCAAGAAGTTTAAGGTTATCACTAATAGTTAACAATCAAATAATCAAGAAAATAAGCAGTAATCCTTTTGGTGACATAAAATGAAAATTCACCATGACGAGCAAAAGCATATTTTATATCAAAGCTCAATTCTTCTCTTTTCTGGTAATTAAGGTTTCATTAGGGTTCGGTTGGATCAGCGTTTCTGGAAATCTGGAAGTCCACAATTGGAGAACAGTTTGCAGTTTGTACTACATTTTGCTATCAATTTTGCTTGAACATTTTGGTGCGTCAATCACGAGCTTGATTTACTCAACACTATTTCCGAGAATTTTTTCACTTCTGACCTTTCTAAGGGGGACCCTTTTTATGGTTATTCCAGTCTGAAACTGACATTTCTTGATAGAACTTCTCAATATCATTCAACTAAAATATCAGACTCCTTAAGGACGTTACTGGGCGGGATCTACAAAACAATACAGCTATCTCTTGGGTGTACCATTGATTTTTTTTTTTTTATTCTTCTGGAATTCCAAAATCAAAATGTGCATTATTTTAAATATCTTTTTTGGCAAGTAAAAATTGGTAAACTGTCCTTAGTGCCTGAGAAGTCATCACATCTTCTTCACACCATATCAGATTATGAGGTTTCTCAATTTTTCTGACGTTCTTGATGCCATAATGGGAATGGAACCCCCTTCTCTTTTCCGCGCGCCATTCTTGTATGCGTGTAGCCAAACCCAGCCTTTCTACACTAACAGCACTAGAAGAAAAGAAAGAAGAAATTCAAATAGAAAGGCATTGAAAAACATGCAAATTCACACAGCAAAAGTATATAGTATTTGTTTTCAGATCCGTTTGTCCTGGCTTCAATTGGCAATCAATCACAATAACCCCACATTTCCAAGATTGGACTAAAAGCTTTTAGTTGGCAAAATTTAAGTTGAACAGATGCAAGAAAAGCCGTAGTTGAGATCCACATGGTTGTATTGATGAACCATGATTATGATATTGTTGAGTGAGCCAATTCACTCACGTATATCAATCCAGTGTTAAATGCCTTTCCGTTGGTTTATTGTGTTAAAGCAATATATTGTCTTGCCAACAAATTAAGCCCCATATTAGATTTGTCCTTTTGGCAAACACCAAGTCAATGAACGTTGGTTGTTACTTCCATTGAAATTAAGATAAAATTAGTGAAAGTGGAGCAACATGTTGGCAAGCATACAACACATTGCTACTTTGACGGCTTACTTGCTTATTTATTTCGCATTTGCCTTTTGTTGATGCAGTTGAAGATTTAATCTAATAACATGAAAATGACAATTAGTTTTGAAGATAGGTACAAGCTAAATTAAAATCTTTATACTAGTCATTTCCAAAAAAAAAAAAGAAAAGTTGTTTAGTATATTTATTACAGTATATATTGTTACATTAATACTGGTTTAAAGTATATCCCACGATCTTGTGGCGGCAAAATTAGAAATTCCAAGTTCAAGTCTTAGTGTTTCACTAGATGTGAGTTTCTTCTTCTCATCATTATGAGTTTCTTGTAATTTCATCAAAAAAAGTATGTCTTAGGTCATTTCATTAGTATCTGATTATTGTTCAACCTCAATTGGAATTCAAATTCAAATTCACATTTAATGATTGATTTTCTTTGATTGGGAGGAAATGCTTGATTTTCTCGTCCGGTTACATCCGCTTGCAAACAAAAGAAGCCGTCCTGCCCAAAAAAGGGACCAGCAGATGATGAATGTTGTGATCTTCCCTTGAAGACTAGAAAACTTCTACGCTGGACTTAAAGAAGTTAGGTTTTGTTGACCCTTCAAAAGAAGGTTTCTTCACTCTCCTTAAGGATAAATGGACCCCTTCCCCAACACCCATCTTTTCTCGTTCAAAGTGTCACCGGCACTAGCGATCGTTCAAAACTGAATTTATGAACGGTTTAGCTAGTTCAGCCTTATGTTTAAGTGCGCGGAAATGTGCGGAAACTAAAATAGTGAGCAAAGAAAGAAAGTATTAGAGGCAAAGGAAAGTTTGTATTGTACTTGTGAACACTTACACAAGGTTGGTTACGAATGAAGAGGCTTGGCCTATTTATAGCAAATCAAGAAACTATACATGTTTCTAGAGAATTATATACAAAGTATACTTACACAGTCTCTAGAAACATCTACATAAGACCACTTTTATGTACAAGACTTTAGACTGTTCCATAAGTCTCTTGAATGACCTAGAACGTTTTGGAAGCTTCTAGCACTTGTTACATATTTTTTGCAATGTTTGGTGTAGCCTCCATGCTTTAGGCAAGTCTCCAAGGCTTGGCACTTAGTTAGGAGATTGAGGTGTAAGTCTACTAACTGTTCTAATTTTTCTGCAAGGACACTATGTACAGTAGTGTATGATTGACCGACCGGACACGGTCACGCGGGGTCGCACGCGCGGATAGAGTGTGATCCGTGTCAAAAGAATAATAGTCTACAAGGATGTTCGCAAAACAATTGCAATTTGCAAAATAGATGTGTAAATATAATATCGCCAGTTCAATATTTGATAAGTTGGGATCTGTCATTCAATTGAGGCTGATAATCTAAAATATTGAACTGGCTAAACAATGGCATTTGGTTAATGCATTTCAAGGTTTATTCTTGAAATTTTACAAAACGAGTAAGTACACTAAATATATATTTTTTCTGTTAATCAATTGATTGATTTTACCAAGCAAATGGTACACTTTGCTAATGCTCAGGTGATAGAATTTGTTTTTCTTTTTTTTTTTTTGGATAAAAAAAGAGACTAATATTATTAGTAAACTAGTTGGAAATCGTCTAACATTATTTACTTGACAAAAAAGTAGCACTAATGACAGAAAATATATAGAACATGTCACAAATATATCTGATATGAAAAATCATCATTAGATTTAATAGAATTATAATAAGATAAGAAAGATTACACTGCAAATCACAATCTATCAGATCTAACCAATTGCACGAGTTGCTCTATAAATATTTGTGCATGTTTGTTATGTTAGATTTGTTACCAAATTGGTTCAAGTTTAAAATTAATGTTGAGATCCGATGAGAAGACCCCAAAAAAATTCCAAATCTAAACAAAACTCTTACTAGAATAGCCTAGAAGAGAAGAAAACTTTTACTAGTAAACATTAGGAGAGAGAAAAGAAGGGAGACCTTGGTTTGAAACTAAAATCTCCCTCCTATGAAGGAAGAACAGTGAAGAGAAGGTTGTTCGGATTGGCTGATTTGGGAAGGATGAATGATAGAATTCGTTAACAAGGCTTACATTTTGCGAATAAGCTTATAACTCTTCATATTAAATTTGTAAAGATATTCACCTTTTTTTTAAAAAAAAAATCGTCTTTATTAAAAAAATGTACAACTTTATTATCAAAATGTACTGATTTATACTACTAGTTAGTCTAATCGATAATATTAGAAGAATAATGCATCATAGTATACCACATTATTTTGAAACAAATGCACTACTTTATTAGAAAAATGTACCACTTTATGGTACAAAAGGTTTGTCGTTTCATCATAAAAACAAAAAAAAAATTATTGAAAAAACCTACCTCCTTATTCTGAAAATGTCCCACTATAGAGTTACCACTTGAAAAACTCACCACTTAGTAGTAAAACATGTACTACACTTTTAGCAACAGAATCTGTCCATTTATTAGAAACATTTAACAATTCCTTTTTTTTTTAAAATTTATAATTTTCTATGAGTGGTAAATTCTCGGTGGCAAGCTGGTATATTTGCTTAACCTAGTTGTAAACTTCGCTAATTAAGTGGGACAATCCCTGATAAAATAATATTTTTATTTCTAATCAAGAAATATATTTATGTGCTATAGTTATTTTTCTCATTTCAAACTTGAATTACCTAGTAACATTACTCACGGCACCATGAATTAATCTACTCGTTCATATTTGAAGAATTTCTACGCACTAGTGCATGAAACTACTTTCCTTCTTAGTTGATCTTGATTCTCGGGAATGGTTCCAAAGAAGCCTGCTTTAGCAACAATATCTTGCACTACTTTATTATTAGAAAAATGTACCACTCATATTATTTGTTTCTTTTTTTTTGGTACTAATTATTTGTTCCAATAAAC